AGCAGTAAAATCTTTTTACATTTATCTCAGCAATATTTTTTCTGACATATCTCATTGGGCAAGGGAAACAAAAGAAAAATTAACACATGGGACTACATAAACTGAAGTGTTTTTTGCACAACAAAGAAAACCTTCAACAAAATGTAAAGACAAGCTACTGAATGGGAGAAGATATTCACCAATGATACATCTAATAAGGGGTTAATATCTAAAATTTATAAGAAACTCATACATCTCAACACCAAAAAGAACAAGCAATCCAATTAAAAAATGGGCAGATGACCTGAATAGACACTTCTCCAAAGAGGACATATACAGATGGCCAACAGACATATGAAAAGATACTCAGTGTTACTAATCATCAGAGAAATGCCCATTACAACCACAATGAGAAATCACTTCACACCTGACAGAATGGCTGTCATCAATAAATTAACAAACAACAACTGTTGGCAAGGAAGTGGAGAAAAGGGAACCCTTGTGCATTGTTGGTGGAAATGCAGATTGGCGCAGCCATTATGGAAAAAACAGTATGGAGGTTTGTCATTTAACCTTTCTGTTTCCTGCCCTGAAAATGGGGGTAATGCCTACTTCATAAAGATGTTGTGAGGATCAACTTTATTTTCCAAATTTAAGGGACAGTTACTCAGAAAAAGGCAAGTTCTGCTTGCAAAAATTAGGAATGCTGTCCTACAAGGCCCAGCAAATATCCATGACAATAATTTCCTAGACAGATCTATTAAAATCCCTGGTATGCCAATGATGTCTGCAGGAACCAGCATTATATCCCAGAAAAAGATAGAACAAAGTTTGTGGCTGTCAGTTGTATTTTAGCCACAGCTGCTAAGAAAACATGGTATATGCTGCAGGTCACTAGGCAAATGCCCAAATATGCTCTGGGGATGTATTACCCCAGTACCCATATGCTTACCCAAAGAACAAAGCTGAGTTTCATAGAGTAGGGCTTTTCTTATTGTGTGGTCCTTGCTTCCAGCAGCTGTTGCTTCATGGGATTTTCTGGGCAAGTAGTCTGGTTTGTAGCACTGTCTCCACTGGCCAGCTACTACGCTATCAGATTACTCTTGTGGAAAATTCTGTCGCATATTTCCTGAGCTCTACATCTCATTTCCTAAGCATTTTTTGCTTATCCTATTACCCTCATTTTTCCTTCAGCTTTTAAGGCAATACTAAAATGTCAGAAGACACACTCATTGTTTCGTCTCTCTTAATATCCTTCTGTTGTGTGCCTGCCCAGGTCTTTTGGAGCAGCTTGGCTGGCTACACCATTTAGCAAAACCCCAAAGTGTAGTAATGCTGTAGTAACCCACTGGATGCCTAGAAACCAGTCTTTGTGACTGAGGTTCCCAAATTGACAAAGCTCCATGACTTGCTTTAGGAAGCAGAGGCAAAGATAATAAGGATTTATTAGTTCTGAAATGCCGTTTCTCTTGTTTCATTGTAACTCATATAACCCAATTAGATTATCCTCTGGAAAATGAATCAGGGTGGTTTAGAAAATCAGTTATGGTACCAGTGGCCACGCCCCAACATGGTTTGGCCAACTGTGAAAATGGGGGTGTTAGGGCTAGAAAAGCTTCAAAAAACACTGATGGCTTTGTGGTGAGAGGGGTGGGATGGGGAAGTATAACAGGAAGTACTGTTGATAGACTTAGGAGGAGACCATTTGTTCTTTCAACTATCTGGACTATCATTTAGGACACCGCTTATAGGAGCAGAATTCTAGTGAAACCTTGATCAACTAGAGCGTGAGAGAGTGGACCTTCTGTTCCTAGGCAAATCAATCTCATAATTAGTTCAACATCATGTACCTTGAATGCAGGGGCCAAAAGGGAAATTAAAAATGAAATTCCAAGTTTGTAAATGCAAGATGATCACTGAAAGAAGAAAGCTTTGAGGATGATCGGGGACCTGAAAATGCCAATATTACAAATTTCTTTATTTTCCAAGAAGACAGTTTTCAAATGTGAATCGGATAATGCTTTAAACCAGGTAATGGCTTCCCATTGGTCTGTGCTAGGCAAGACCAGAAAGCATGGTCAAGGGTCAAAGACTAGTGAAGATAATGACTCATACTAGGTCAAGGAAGCCTAAGTAATAAAGTTAATAACCTCAGGCCTAAGTAGTAAAGGTCAGCTTACTACTAACAAATCTGTGAACAACAGTACCTTGAAAACCCTGAGATAAAAGTAAGAGTTGATTGCTGTTGTTTTTTGTAGCTGTTCCTGTTTTATAGAAGTATGTCTCAAGTTGTGTGGTCTTAAAAGTCAAGACACTGGAGGTTGGCCACATCAGCAGCCTAGGACTTCCCTATTTGCCCCAGTTACCTATGATTTGCCATCTATTTATTTTGAGTGTGTGCTACACTGAGCTCATGGAAGGCCTGCCCATAGTTTGCCACTGTAATTAAAAGGAAATCCTACAAATCCCTGCATGATCTGCCTTTTGCTTACCTCTCCATCCTTACCTGGTACCAATCTCTGCTTGGTGCACCATTCTCCAGTCCCACGGGCCTTTCTGTTCCTTAACATGCTAGGATCCTCTCCTTCTCAGAGCCTTTGAATTTACAATCTTCTCCCAGCTTCTTCCAGCTCCTCTTTTCCTTCTCATCCTTCAGGTTTTCAGCTCTATGCCACGTCAGAGTAGCCGTCCCTGATTCCTCTATTTAAAGTTAAGTATCCCTCACCCCCATTACTCTATAAATATCACTATATTTTAAATCACTCAGTATTCATCATTGTGCATTATTATCATGTTTGTTTGCTTGTTTAATCTTTTCCATCTCCTTGTGTAGAATATAAACTTCATAAGGGCAGGGACCCTGTGTAAATTCTTAAATCTTATGTTTCCAGGACTGAACACTGCTTGGCTCATGTTAGTGATTAGTAAGTAATTTTTAGTGGGTTGCCTTCTCCAAAAGGGCAACAATCAATGTGGGTGATGGATCTTCCTCACCCAGTATAGAGGTCATTTAAAGAGCTTTATTTAACATTTTGATGAAAAATGTCTCCATATTTTTGAAAGTTTATTTCAGTATAAATATGCTTACAGAAATATACTCATGGTGGTTACTAGAGTGCTATTTAGTTTAACTTACACTGTACAATTTGAACAAAAAATATGGTACATGACTGAAGTTTTAAAAAGGGGATTTTCAATCTGGTTTATTTTTCATCTATTATAAATATAATAAAGATCCTCTCTCAAAAGTTATTAAAGCAGGTAGCAAGACCGGTGGACAACTTATTTTGGTTTACTTCTGAGTAACACACAAATTGTACTCTAAGAGCTTAAAAGTTGGTGTAGCAAAATATTTTTTAAATGTTTCAGTGCCAGCTAACATAGTATATAGTGGGTAGATGTCTATGTACCACATCTGAAACAACTATGATAGTTATCTTTATTTTTTTGTTAATACTGTATGTAACTTATAAATCTACACAAGCCAAGACTGAAGTAATTTCTTGAATCTAAGTTCCAATGATGTGCTGGAACTGACTTGTACCAGCTCATAAGAGTAGATTGTGTATGTATATATCTTCCCAACTCCACTTTCATTGACTTCAAGTTGGTAGCTTGAAATTGGCCATGGTAGGAGTATTTACCATGGGAATCAGCAAATGCCACAGCAGCACTCTCTTGCTCCCCCTGTCACCCAAAACCAGTTATTAAATATTTACCAGCACACCACATCACTGGTTAACACTATCAGTTCATCCTTTGAGGTCAATAAGGAAACTCAACAAAAGTTGTCAATTCTGACTTTTATATAAAACAGAAATATAGGTTTCATTTCTAGGTTTTCACTCTAGAACCAAAACTATAGGATAAGCAAGGTGTGCCTTCCCTATGCAACCTGCATGGGTGACAAGCCATGGAGTCTATGTGGTTTTAAATTTGTAAGCATTTATATGAAAACTCTCCAAATTTCAAGGGCAATGGGACTCTAGAAATTATTTCAGAAATAAATTGCTCCTTCTTGTAAAACTAGAGCAGAATATACACCCACAGTAAAAAGACATTTTATTTAAAAAAAGAAAACAGCAACAACAAAAACAAAAGACCCAAGTAGCCCCCAAAGAAGAAGCAGCTCTGACAAAAGAGAAAAAAATAACTTAAAGTCTATGCTACCAAGTATGGGGTTTGTTTTGGAAGTGATAAAAATGTTCTTGAGTTACATAGTGGTGATGGGTTGCACAGATTTGTAAATCTACTAAAAAAACCCCCAGAATTCCACATTTTGAAAGAGTGAATTGATTGGTATGTGACATATCTCAACAAAGTTTTCAGCGAAAAAAACTTAGGGTATATAAGAAAATAACATAAACACAGGTTTAAAGGAGAGTTAACAGAAAAATACATTTTCATAAACTTGCCAAATATTTAGCTTATACTAATTTATAGTGGGTTGTTACCTTCACAGATTCTAAAGAATGATGACAGTTGACTAGCACGTCAACAAAGCTGAAAGCAAGCAGTATTTCCTCTTATCTCACTCCCCTCCCCCTTTTTTAACCCCTTTCTCCTAACAATTAACATAATGCCTCTATTATACTCTATTGGTGTGGGTCTAAATGGGGCATCAGCATTGTTTTTCTTCTCTAAAGAGCCAGATAGTAAATATTTTAGATTTTGTGGACCATAAGATCTTTGCCACAACTACTCAACTCTGCAGTTGTAGCATGAAAACAGCTACAGATGATAAGCAAATGAATAAATTGTTGCTATGTGCCAATAAAACTACAAAAACAGGCAGCCTATTGGAGTTGGTGCATAGCACAGGCTCTGGCTTCCTGATCCCTTGTCTAGACCTTGAAATGTTGTGGGAGTGTTGATTTATTGTTGTTGTTGTTGTTTTACTTTATTTTTGTTGTTGACACTACTACAGATGTTCCCTATTTTCCCCTTTGCCCACCTCCACCCAGCCACCCACCCCCCACCCCCAGGCCATCACCACACTGTTGTCTGTGTTTTGCTACTATCTTTTCACTTTTTAAATTTAATTTAATTTTATGTTTTCGCTGTGGAGAGAATAAATGTTTACTGTTTTAAGCTCTTAAGTTAGGGGTAACTTGTTACACAACCACAATCACCCTTTTAAAAATGACATGAACAAGTTGACTGGATCCCAAGTTCCTCTCCTAAACACCTGAAGTGGTTCTGTTTTTATTGTTGATTCTATCACAGATGTCCCCCATTCTCCCCTCCCCTTTGCCCCCTTCCACCCAGCCTCAGCAGGAGTTTGGGAAGCAGATAAAGAAGTGAGACTTGAACTTGCAGTTCAAGTGCGGGCGCCCCTGTGTGCGCGTGCGCACTCACTCACTCACTCACTCACTCACTCACTCACTCACTCACTCACTCACAGACCGATGACTTAGCAGCTGTGAAGATGGAGATGGGGGACTCAGTGACTGTTAATCTACTTCAAGTGCTTGCATGTCTGAGGCTGGAGTTGAAGCCTCCAGCGTGTTTGGAGTTAATTCCCATTAGGTTGGACTCCGCCCCTCTCTCCCAAAGGTAAAGAAAGGTTTTCAGGCATCTCTGCAAAGAGCAGCTGGGATTCCCATCCCCTTCTGACAAGCTGTAAGGAGAAATTGTTTCTCAGATCTGAGTTCGAAGAGAGGGAACAAGTCAATCAGCCTTCGTGGCCAGAAGGTAAATTTGCAACTTGGGCCAAATGCAATTGAAACAGCTGGATAAAAAACTGCTTTGCTCTCCCCTTGCTCAACCCCCCTCCTCCCTTGCCTTTCTTGGGCTTCCTGTCCTTTCATCTCACAGCTCGGAGAAGCTGTTTCTTCCCAAAGGCAGCCTGGTACATTTTTTCCTTCTTCATAGTTCGTTGTTTGCACAGAGGCTAAGCGGAATCAGGGCTGGATTCCTATTTCAGATTGACATAGTTTGAGGACCTAAGGGTTAAATGCTAGTTGGTTTCCCCAGAAGAATTTGTAACTTGAGGAGAGGAAGTGCATGTCTCTGGGAGTGGACGGAGGGATTTTATTCTGACTTGTCTGTAGAAGTAAAGGTGGATCTGGTTTGCTGATGTGCTGGGTTGATCTTTTAGACTTGCCTAAACTGGGGCAATGAGACTGAAATGGGGTAATGGCGTTAAACTGAAATGCAGATGTTGAAATCAGTAGGGCTGGAAATAAAAACTGCATTCACTCAGTAAATATTTGTGAATTCTTAACTATGTGCCAAGCATGATGACTTCCAGAAAACCTGAGATAGTTTAACTATAAATCCATTCTTGAAAAAAACACTGGGCCAAGTGTTTTCATTTTGTGGTGGAAAACTGAAAGCAGAAAGAAGACTAAGAGTGAAGAAAAATTACTTAGAGAGTGTTTGGGGAAAGAGAAGGGAGAAGAGTGATGTTCTACTTTTTGGGTGACTTCAAGTCTTCTCTGTTACTTATGGGAGAATGGAGCCTTCTCTGGCAGGAAGGAGAATTTACAACTATCCTAGTGTTAGGTAGACCACAGATGTTATTTCACTTGAACTTTACATTCCATCATCTCCATTTTATAGATGAAACTGAACCTCAGAGGTTTTAAGCGATCCTCTCAAGTTCATAGAATCTATAAGGGACAGACCTCAGGACTCTATCCCAGATCTGATTCCAAAATCTGAACTCTTTTCTTCTAAAAGAGTATTTTCTAACCATTAGTTCCCATCAGGATCAATTGAGGATTTTTAAAAAATGCAAATCCCATAAATTCTAATTCAGTGAATCTGAGGAGTTGTGTAATAGACTGCATTTTGAATAAGCATTGAAGGTGATTCTGGTACAGAGGGTTTAGAGCTCCCATTTTGAAAAACTCTTAATATGCCATGCTGCCTCTCATGTCTGTTGAAGTGGTTGGAGAAGCATTCAGCCCACCTTCTTCTTATGCTGGCCACATTCACTGAATGGAGGTGGCCAGCTGTGATGGGATTTTATTCCATGTTGAAGCCATGGTTAAAGGGACTGCTGGGGCAGCAGTAGCAGGGCTGGGGCTAGAGCCTAAATGTGCGAGCAGATGGTTTACCAGTTAGCCCATTGTTGATAGTGATTAACAATGTCTTGCCAGAGTGGGCCTGTAGGAGTAGTTTCTAACTGGTATAGGGTATGACACTCCTAGCCGATCAACTGAGCACTGAAGATGGTGGTACCTGTCAATTCAGAGTAATAACCAGGATGAAGATCTCTAATTGGCACCCTACTTTTCAAAGAAGAAGGCAGATGGGGAGCTCAATGAACATTTTTTTTTTTTTTTCAAGGAATGGAGAAGCTCATATGAAATTTAGAGAAATCATTCTAATCCCTACTTTTCTAACTTCAGACTCTGGAGCAAGGGAATAGGTCAGGACAGGTTCTTTTTATGGGCTCTCTCTGTCTTTGCTTGGCCAACTTGACCTTCTAGGTTGTCAATGACTTGGTGGTCCTCTCTCTGTAGTTACTCTCTTGATTCTTGTGTTTTAATGCCTAAACTGCTTGTGATCATCCCCACCTCAGGATGAAAATATGAGAATAAATAAATGAACAGACTCAGCACAGCTAGTTTTACCAGTCTTTATACTCCAGGATAAAAGAGGAGGGAAGGAGGGAGAAACTTAGAAAGAGGATAGAAAACATTAAGGCTGAGGAATTTGAAAGATAGATAAGGCTTAGGTTAAAAGTGAGGTCTTCTTAAGCAGAGAGTAGTAGAATGGTGGTTGCCAGGGGTTTGGTGGAGAGGGAAATGAGGAATTGTTGCTCAATGGGTGTAAAGTCCCAGTTAGGCTGTTGAATAAATTCTAGAGATTTTCTGTTCAACTTTGTGCCTATAGTTAACAATACGGTGTTGTGCATTTTAAAATATGTTAAGAAGATAGATCTTATGTTAAGTGTTCTTAACACACACACACAAAACAATACAAGGAACTTTTTAAGGGTTATGAATATGTTTAGTACTTTAATTGTGGTCATGGTTTTACAGATGTAAGCATATGTCTAAACTCAGTGAGATGTACACATTAAATGTGTACATTTTTTCATATAACATTTATACCTCAATAAAGCTTGAATAAAGTGAGATCTTCTTCAAGCCACAGAGATGCAAATGGGAAATAAAGGCCTTGGTGTAGCTACATTGTGATATGATATCAGGCATAGGATAACCTGAAGCAACTCTCTTTGAGAAGATATACAGAGGAGGAGAAACTTCGGAGGGACTCCGGTGGCAGAAAATGATTGGGAAGTGGTAATAGATACTTTTTGAAGTTGTGTCTGAAACATAATGATCTAGAATGGTCAGGCTGCTTATATACCCAACTTGATACAAGGAGTCACATTGGGCAGAGACATTTTTCTGAAACAGGACCCTGTTTACACACTGGAAACATATATGTTTGTTTATTTTTCTCATTTCCTAGGGAAGTCTCAACACTGAGTATGATGTATTTGTAACAGGGTTGGCATGTAAGCAATGCACACTATATGGGGGCATGAGTAGAAAAGCCTGTTCATGTTTCTTTGCCAAAATCAGTGACAACAAAGTGGCTCCTTGAAGACCAGTCTGAACCCAGTATTCTTGCAGCCATGTTTCCCTCAGCAGCTGCATATCAGAGACTCCCTTTCTGATCACTTCATGTTCTGGTCATTAACTCACTGGATGCTTTACCTGGGCCCTATTACCCTTAGTAAGGTATTGCTTTCCTTAACTCAGAAGTTGTATGACAAGGTCAAGTGGGAACAAAAGGATTTTGAGTCTTCTTCTGTAGGGACTGGGGAGGAGATGAGGTAGAGGAACAATTTGGTTTTTCTCCACCAAGAAAAATATAAGAGCAGTGTTTCCAGTTTTACTGATACTAAGTAAGTGCCCATAATGAGTAGGTACACACAAGAGTGAAAAGGTAAGAACAAATGATTAAAGACAGGGCAATGAGTCATTGCAGGGAGAGTTAGAATGCTCATTTTGGGGAAAAAGTGCCAACAGTAAGCCACCACTAATCTGAGTTGACGAAGGGCTCTCATCTGGAGGACAGTGGCCAACCTATTCTCCATTCCATCTGAGGACCTGACCAAAGGAATTGGCCATAAATTGCAGCAGAAAATGTTTAAAATGAGATATAACAAGTAATTTCTTGACAATGAGAGTTGTTAAACTACTGAGAAAAAAATGTAGTCTTCTTTAGAGTCCTTTAAAAACATTATAGACAACCATTTGACATCTACAGCTTAGGTGGGTTTCCTGACTCATATAGTTTGAAGTGATCTCTAGCCGTGATCTGTGTTAGAATGACTACCATATCTCTAAGAGTAGTGAACAGTAGTCTTTAGTAAGGACAATAAATTCAGAACAGACTTCATGTTTCTACCCTGGTTGTTACAACTTTCTAGCCACATTCACTGCATCTCATATAACCCTCTCAGAAACAGACATGTGACCCATTTAGGACATGGAAAAACTAAAGGGTGAGGGATCATGTAACACTAACGAGAGAGGGTGAATAACAATTCTTTCAATGCCTCGTTACTGGGACAATTAGCAGAACCACCATGTTGAGTTCTTGGTTTCCGAAATCCAGGGTAGCTAGACATTCCAGGACAGGGAAACAAAGCTATTGTGTATACAAAATATACAAGAAGAATAAAGATAGAATGAAGTACAGAATTATGTGTGATTTTATTTACGTGAGTGCAAAGAGTTGGCTAGTTCCTGGGAATGAACTTGGATTGCTTTGGAAAAAAAAAAAGGAAGTTACTCCATCACATATGATGCAGGAACTAAAAGCATTTGCTTGAATGCACTTCTCTATCCAACATATGTGAACATGTAGCAATGTGCATGCACAGACTCCGCACAGCCCATTACCTCTCTATCCAGCCATAGAAGAAGCTGGGCTGGGGCCCATTTTGTTTCCAGAAAATACTGAGCCATTGGATCGCTGAGATCTCTTCCTTTATTGCATGAGGTCAAGTCTATGATTTACAAAGGTTTACATTCAAAATCTACAGGCTTTATCCCTCCATTGTCTAATTCCGTTGTCACTTGTAACTTTATACTGCTTGAGACCTGCAGAAAGAACATTAACAAACTATCTGTGGCAGTGATTTTCAACCTGCTGTCCATGGATGGTGCTGGTTCACCACCCCTCTAGTCCTAAATAGGGTAAGTAACTCATTCAAGTTTGGGACATTCCTTGTTCTATCACTGAGAGTCCCACATCCCAGGAAACTCCTTAGTATCAGGCAAACCGGCATGGTTGGTCACCCTAGTCCTAAATGAAATAAGTACAAATGAGTTTTTCCTGATGTGAAAGTATTTCATTTAAATTTTGAAAATCAATGTTTTTCTAAAGCTAAATGTATTTAATTTAAATTGAATTTTGTGATTCTGCCTTCCCACATCTTGACTTTAAAATACCATTTAAAAATACCATTTTAAAAATAAAATTATGGTGACAGTGGTTGGTAGTTTTGTAATATTTTTATTAAAGTATTTTTGACATACACTATTATATTAGTTTCAGGTGTACAACATAATGATTCTGCATTTATATACCTTATAATGTAATCACTACAATATGTCTAGTAACCATCTGTCATGGTACAAAGTAATTAGGATATTGACTGTATTACCTATGTTGTACATTATATCTCTATGACTTATTTTATAACTGCAAGTTTGTACTTCTTATTTCCCTTAACATTTTTCACCCATCTCCCCACTTCTACCCTTGTGGCAACCATCACTTTCTTCTCTATATCTATGAATCTGTTTCTGTTTTGTTTCGTTTGTTCATTTATTTTGTTTTTTTTTTAAGTACATATAAGTAAAAATCATATGGTATTTGTCTTTCTCTGTCTAACTTATTTCATTTAGCATAATACCCTCGAGGTCCATCCATGTTGTTGCAAATGGCAAGATTTCATTCTTTTTTTACTGCTGAATAATATTCTGTTGTATATATGTGTGCATATATATGTGTGTGTGTATATGTATGTATATATGTGTGTGTGTGTGTGTGTGTGTGTGTGTATATATAGCATCTTTTTTATCCAATAGATAAAGTATCAATAAAGTATTGTGTTTTTTTTTAAATAGTTCGATTTGTCGCAGATGATAATCTTATGTGAGAACCCCTCCTCTTATTTCTAGTACAGTCTAAGTACTACTTACTGATATAGTTCCTTTCTCTTCTTTAAGTTCTCTGCCTTTCTATTGGTTGTCATACTGGGACTTTTGATCTCAAGGTGATGACATTCATGAAGGACATATGGGGGTTAGTTCTAACTGCAGTTTCTGAGCTTGAAACAACTTATGTTCCTGTTCTGTTGGTTTATACACTGCTTAGAGAAAGTGACCTTCCTCCTACCATCCCTGTCTTACCCTCTAATTCTTTTCCCATCCTTAAACATTTTTTTTTTAAATCCTGTGTGGGAGACCATAGAAGCTTTTAATTGTAATACTTTTGGGGTCATGAAGCAGAATATGGGGGAAGGTTGCAGGTGAAGAAGTGGGAAATGATGGCTTCTGCCATTGAATCAGTGGGTAATCTTGGTTAAGTCACTTAGCTTTTTGACCCTCAATTTTCTCATTTGTAAATTGGGGTTAATAAGTTGCTTATCAACCTAAGGAGATTGTTGGGCAGAACACATGAAAAAAATGGGCTTGGAAGAAACTATGATGATGCAGCCGCAGATGTTTATCAGCTTGTTTCCTCTCATTCTCTAGCCTCGGCTTCTTCACTAGGAAATGAGTCCATAACAGAGGGCTGCTTGCACTTTTCACAATCTTACCCACTTTACTATAACAAGCAGAGGCATTACCTCATTGTGGCCAAGCATACTTGCTTTCCAACAGCAATTACTCATAACGAGTTTCACTTCTCCTCCTGTTAACTTTCAATCCCTCATCACATCTTTCTCTCATTCCCCCCACTCTCTTGCACAAAGCCTCATTCCCAGGGGCCCAGCTCAGGGCACTTTCTTCCCAAGCCCTAACATTCCAAAGTAAGCACCTGCAATTTATGATCTCTGCTCCCTTCCAGCACAAAGCACATAGCACACAATACATGTGTATCAGGAGAGGAATTGCAATGTAGTGAAAATAGAACATTATACTAAGACTCAAATAACTGGGCTGTGGTCTGGCCTGTGTATCTCACTAGCCCTTTACCCTTGGGTAAATCACTTCCTCTCTGTAATCCCATCTGTAACTGATTGGGGGAGGGGGCCTAGCACTGTGTGGTAGAAAAGTATTGGCCTAGGAATCTCCAGATCAGGTTTCTTATTCTGTTGTTGCTTGCTAACTTACTCTGTGACTTGGGAGAAATCATTTCCCGCTTTACCGGGCCATACTCCCTCATATGTAAAATAAGAAGGTTGAATTAGGTGATTCATTAAGGTCCTTGCCAGTCTGGAAATTGGATGCTTTTATGAAATGAGTTTCATTAAATAAACATGACTTGGAGTGTCTACTCTGTGCCCGGCACTGTATGATAGTGGTTATGAAAGGGATCATGGCTGGGCACAGTCCCTGAGACCCTGAGTACAATTCCTGCTTGCTCCTGACTGTCACAGATTGGTCCCGTAGAGTCATTTCCTATACTTTTCTTGTCTTGTGTCTCTCACCCTTGAACCCCCCTCCCAGCACCTGTAACTTTAACCAGTAATGATGAAACATGGAGAATCTTCTGAGACATACTCCACCATTTGCCTTTTGGAGACATTCACAGTGCTGTCATCAAGCTGTAGTGAGGTCTCTGGCCGCCCTAATCGAGAATCAGGCCAGCAAACAATGGCAGATTAATGGAGTTGGGAGGAAAAGTGGTTCATTTTTGACAGAGAGGACTGTGAAAGCCATTTGTGAGCTGGGCTGAGGAGATTAGATCTAAAAAGACTCTCAGCATCTTAAATCTGAGGTAACTTGTTCTAAAGTCACCTTTCAAGGTCCCTGTAACTACTTATATATTCCTGCTGCCAGGCAGGGGGTACCTGATCTATTTCAGAAAAATGAGAAGCTTTCTTGATTATATTAAGGAAAAGAAGAGGCAGCTTTTCTTAGTAACCAGTCTAGAGTTAAACAACTCTCACTGGTTAGAAAGTTGCCTTACATTTTGATTTTGGGAGAAAGAGGCTGAATGGTGCCCTAGCTGGTTTGGTTCTGGGGTTAGAGTGTCTGCCTGCTGACTGAAGGGTCCTGGGTTTGATTCGGGTCAAGGGCTCGTACCTCTGTTGCAGGCTGGATCCCCAGCCCCTGTTAGGGTGCGTATGGGAAGCAACCAATCAATGTCTCTCTCTCTCTTGCTCTTGCTCTTCCCTCTCCCTTCCACTCTAAGAAATCAATGGAAAAATATCCTCAGGTGAGGATTAACAACAACAACAAAGTGGCTGAATGGTGTTTACTCAGTAATAAGCATAGAGTGTGAGACTAAGCATCCCTTTTTTTATTCTACCCATTTCAACCTGGCTGATGCATCCTTGTGAAAAGTCAACATGAATGCACTATTGCACATCCTACCTAGGTCAAATGAGCACATCCTGCAACTCCATAGTGAGCTTTTCTTCCCTCTTCTCCCTTATATTAAGAGCAGACCCTGTGAGTGGTCTTCCTTCTTCCTTTTCTCACTGAAAACAACTTGGTTGCTGACCCTCTTGAGATATCACCTCCTTCTAGGCTTCCAAGTCAGAAAGGCCATTCCTTGGGAAGCTGGAGTCTCTCTGGGCAGCCTGGGTTTCATTTGGGCTTCCCATACACACCCTAACAGCCACTTGTTTCATGCTGGATGTCAAGAGTTAAAAGCTGACAGATCAGGCTGCATTTGAGTTGGCAGAGAAGTCACTAATTCAATTCTATGGTTTTTTCATTGCAGCCTAGAGACCATAGAACTCTAAATCAGGTGGAAGGAAGGAATGATGGAAAAAGTGCTGGAAAGCAGAATCCCATAAGGACCCAAATGGTCCTTGAGAGAATAATTTTATCAAGAAGCAAGGGCCAAGTGACACATGAATGAGCCCCAGGACTGGCCAGACAGATGAAAAATAGGCTGATGGAGCCTACGTGATAACTTTTTGTATTTGGTCCTGTGACCCAACTCATCTCCCCATACCTGCAGAGAAACCTGGGACCATGAGGAGCAGCCTGACAGTGGTGGGGACCCTCTGGGCCTTCCTGTCCCTTGTTACTGCTGTGGCCAGTTCTACCAGTTACTTCCTGCCATACTGGCTCTTTGGATCCCAGCTGGGGAAGCCAGTGTCCTTCAGCACATTCCGGAGATGCAACTACCCTGTGCGGGGAGAGGGGGACAGTCTGATCATGGTGGAAGAGTGTGGGCGCTATGCCAGCTTCAGTGCTATTCCAAGCCTTGCCTGGCAGATGTGCACGGTGGTGACAGGTGCTGGCTGTGCTCTCCTGCTCCTGGTGGCACTGGCTGCAGTTCTGGGCTGCTGCATGGAGGAGCTTATCTCCAGAATGATGGGACGTTGCATGGGAGCAGCGCAGTTTGTGGGAGGTAAGACGGTGTTGGTGGGATTGGGTAGGCTGGGGAACTCTGGAGGAGGGAGGTGGGAAGGCAATGGGAAATGTTACCTTATGGGAAATCTACTCTCCCTCCCTCCCCTATGTCCATCTTTAAGGCTACAAAAGGGGAATTGTTTGCAACAGTCTAGGACTCTGTAAAGTGTAATCGACATCCCGCTTTTATTCACAGCAAAATTGGTTAGTAGGCAGTTGATATGTGCTTTTTATCCTCTATTTTCATCACCTTCTTCTGCCTGCAGGGTGTCTATTTAAGAATATCATCCAGGTCTACTTTCCAGGGGCAGCAACATGTATTCTAGTATTACTGCTTCAAAATAAACTTGATCTTTAAATGCCCCGATACACACAAGTGCTAATTACTAACAAGAATTTAATGTGAAATCCTCAATAAAGAAATACATCTTTAAAGTGAAATGCTAGGTGCCAAACAGACTGCAGATAACTGCTTATTTTGCCCACATGTAAGGCTAGCCCTGTCTGGTAGCCATTAACAGTCTATCCAGCTTTCTTATGGTCCTGTCCCATACTATCTATCTTTTCCCTCATCCAAGCTTCCTCTAAATTAGTGCAGGTAAACTGGGGATGCTGCCACTGTACGAATGGGCTAGGAAAGACCAAGTGCAAAATGTCAACCTGCAAGAAGGCAATGGGAGCAGTTTAATTTGAATTGTATAAAGTAAAAAAGCAAGTTTAAACAGATAGGCAAACTATATATGTACATGTGAGTTATATTTTATACCTGGTTGAGGTACTGGGAAAAAGTGCTGATAAAAGCTATTGTTGAAGTGTGTTGTTGTTGCTCATCAAGTTTTGAAATTCATTATTATTATTATCTCAGTAGCACAGTGTGGGCGACTGGAGCCAAGAAATTTGGACCTCACTTCTGGCTGTTCCACTAAGTTGCCCTGTGACCATGGGCAAATGACAGTGACCTTTCCTGTGTTCACTTCCTTTCTTTCCTTGAATTTGTTCACTGGGAAGATAGGCCAGATCCCAATGACTGCATTCAGGTGGTCTTGGGATGATATGGTAGTGATGAGCTAAGACAGTGGTTCTCAACAGGGGCTGATTTTTCACTTTCTTTCCCTGGGGACAACTAGTAATGTTCTTGAGACATTATTGGTAATCACAATTTGAGGAGAGTGCTACTGGCTTCCAGTAGGTAAAGAAAAAGAAGGCTGTTTGATACTCCACAGTGGACAAGGACAAGACAGCTGCCCATTCCCAACAACAAAGTATCTGGCCCAAAATATCAATAGTGCTGAGGTTGAGAAGCCCTGAGCTAAGGTATCATGGTTTCCTGGTCTGCTTATGAAAAGCATCAGATTCTTTTTATTGAATCACAGTTAAGGTGATGTTTTTCAGGTCCTCTCTTTCCTCAGATTCATTGTAAAACTTTAAAATTTGAATTAATATTCTAGTCTGCCTTATCTCTAAATTTGTCCACTCTTTACTAATGGTTTTCTGGCCACACTGGAAAATCATTAGATTGTTTCTTTCTTTCCCTTGAAAACCATGGTATAGAAACAATTACTAAGGCTAATCAAAGCCAATTACTTGATCCCCTTGTGGGGCTCTCTGGATATCACAGATGAACCTTAAGCAGGCTCACCTTTCACTTACCTGTCAAGAGTAAGATGTGGTCCTTGGAACTCATGTTTATAGCTCCAGGGCTCACTTCAGTGCCAGGCACAGAGCAGGTTTTTAATAACTGTAAGAAGAATGTACACATGTTAAGGCAATGTCCAGTGAATGTTGGGATAAGATGGACATATGAGAGCTGGATTCATTCACATCCTTTCCTTTTCTTCCAGGCTTCCACTCAAGGGTGTTAACATCCCGAGTTATCTTCTTTTCTGACTTGAGAGTGACAAGTTAACCTCACTTGCATTTCTAAGAATTTCTGACAGAGACTGAAAAAGTGCTAACTGTTAGGAATCAGAATTTCAGTGGCAATAGCCTCCATCAGACTCTAAGAATTAACAGTGGTTCCTACTCCCAGCTTGCATTCCTATCTTGGGATTGGCTGAGCCTTTTACAAAATCTTTATGGTTTGCCACATAACATATTTTAGTTGATTCCACCTCCTAGGTCTAGAAACTAAAAGGAAATTGTTGAGAAGAGATGTAGGTAGGTAATGGAGATTTAGATACTCATGAACTGAGTGGGGAAGAACTTCAGTCAAGTGTAGGTGTCACATGGGGGAAGTCAAAATAGTACCATTTCTGTCTCATGATTCTGCCATTCTATGTTCCTCATTGATCCTTGCTCATATGAACATGGTCACAGTATTTACACTTAGATGAGGGTCTTTAAAGTTCAAGAATAAAATGCCATTTGACAGTAGTCATGGAAAGAGTCACGACCCAAAGAGTGCTGTAAGATTTTTCTCTGGGCAAGGGAATGATATTGGACAGATAGCTAAATTTCCATAGCTTTCACATCTGTAACACCAAACACCAACCAACTAACAATCATTACCACCTACATTTTAGAAACTTGTGCCTGTTAAATTTGCATCAGGTGTGAAGGGATGGTGAAAACTGCTTGGATATATCATATTTTCTATGAGTCCCTTGCCACATGACCATTACTGAAGGTTCTTTAGAGATCTCAGGTCTGACCCCTCAGAGACAGGCTCTACCAGTGGCAGATAGCCAAGCCTGAACAGCATTTTGAGCTCCATGGATAAAAGATGCAAGTAAAAGAGCTGTGGGGGTTTAGTTTGAACTTGTTGTTCAGCTGAGGGGAATTGATTTTGTTGCTGCAGGCCTGGCTGATTCTCGGCAGCTGGTGCATTAACCGAAATACATTAAGGGGAGGAGCCAATTTGTTTCAGGTCTGGTTTATCTCTGCCAGACCCCAAACCACTGAAGAGATGGAGTATCCATTAAGAACTATCTCCTCCCCCTACCTCACTCTTGTTCCCCAGTTTGGCAGCTTCCCACAGAGATGAGCGGTGGGAAGTGGGAGAGACAGGAAGAAATAAAGATCTGCTTGACTGAGTCATACTCAGCAAGGTGACCTGATGAGGCCCATGGGTCCCATTTGCTCCACCTGCAGCTGATCCAGCTGGACAAGCCTAGGGTCCAGAGAGCCTTCCACTGGGACCTTCATGCCCTGCTCCAACCAGTGAAGGAAACATCTGGCCAGGAGATTATTTCAACCCTGGGGATGCTGAGGTTTCCAACCAGCTGGCCACTGGCCCCTGAGAACAGGATCATTATTCACATTCTCCTGTGTACATATATATAAGATACTTGTGAATTATCCTCTATCTTCAGTGAGAGCTAAACAAAGAAGAAATAGGTGAGAAATAAATATAAGGAACTTCTTGGCAGGAAGAAGTGTAAGATCTTGGATCAGATTACTTGAGGGAGGCCAAGAATCTTTCCAGAGTAGGGAATGTATCAGAATCACCTGGAGGGCTTAAAAAATGTGGACTCTACAACTCCCCAGACCTCTTTCCCATTCTGATATACACAACAAAAGGTGAAAGGCTGTGTGTTTTGAAAAATCACCCTAGTGACTCTGATGTGTATGCTGTGTTCCCTTTCTCCAACCCAAGTGAGAACCACCACCCTGGAGATTTTATATATATACAATTTAATACACTCAGACAGGCACCAGTGTTTTTCTCCATGTATGGTCTTAATGCTACATGCTTCAAGCTAGATGAAAACTGCCACTGTAAACAGATCACTGAGAACTTGAGTCAAGGAAAGGGTACTATTTTTCTCTAAACCATTATCTTCTTTGGAAACCATTCATTTCCTGGAAAGTCCTCCAGAGTTTCACCATGAATCATTTAACTTATCCTTACCATGCTGAATAAGGATTATAAAAGTGGCTTTCTGTTTGGGAAAATGGTTTTCAAAGAAGTTAACCTGTTATCAAAGACTCATGCAGCACATTGAAGCACAGCTGAGAATATGGTTCAGGGATCTGGGCTCTCTGAAAAATGCTATTGCAGTGTTTTTCAGAGTGGTCCATGAAGCACTTGTATAAGTATTACCTGGGGTACTTGCTAATATAGATTCCTTGGGTCATTGTAAGACTCCTGAATCAGAACTGATGCCTGGCACTCCGCATTTTACACAGCCTCTCACGCTGATTTATTTTGGAAACTATAGTATGAAATATTTCTGATGTATGTACCTCTCAGCTGAAGAAATAGAGTTTTACCAATACAGTTGAAGTCTCCTTCCTACCCTGATCATATTCCCTTGTCCCCACAGTAAAGGTAACTACTGTCTTGGATTTGTTATTTATGATCCCCTAGCAGATTGCAGTACACATAAAAATTTGAGAACCTCTGCTCAGTTTTGGTATAATGTTGCTTTTTAAATGGAGTTCCCTTTTCTTCCATGTCTGCTTGAACATAAATATCTCTCTCTCTCAAAGGACAAGTCAAATGCAACTTCTCTGTGAAGCCTCCACTGATCTACTTTAGAAGTCTCTAGCAGAAGCAAACTGTCTTATAACTCTGACTGAAAATATTAGGTACAAGGAATGGGAGAGTTGAGTAGGGGAGATCCCCAGAAAGGGAAAGTTGAGATATAGCTGGAGGGCAGATATAAATTTTCCACTATGTTTGAGTTGAAGTTACTACAAGAACAATAAATTGAACAAATGAATAACAAAATAACTTGTACTAGGCTTCTGCTTAGGGTAGTAAATTCAAAGTACTAATAACCGCTTTTGGACAGATATTTATGGATAGGGTGGGGTGTGTAACAAAATCACTGCCCACTCAAAAGTTACACTTGTGAACAGCTGGGGGGGAGGGGCACGAAGGGGGATGGTTACACCCAGTGAGGGGACTTTCCCTGCCCAGAGACTGAATTTAGGCATTTGCCTAATTGAGAATGTGCAATTGGGAAGCGGTTATACAGCTATTGCATATGAGGAAGTAGTAATTCTGGCTGCAGCGGAACATTGAAGGCAGCTGGGATATAGCTGCAGGTATGG